TCCAAGCACTTAATGGCCCTAACAACAACAATAACAGATGCTAACCCATTGGATCTTCTTAGCAACCTATGATAAGTACTATTGTTCTTGTTGTCATGTTGATTGTTGACTCATAGTAACCCCATGTGACATAGTAGAATTGCCCCATTCCAGAATAGCCTGGGTCTTTCTCCCATGGAACCTCTGGGTTAGCACTTACCATTGCGCTAACATTGAGTGCCTACCAGGGCTTAATTAGGTACTTTTATTGCCCCATTTTTATAGAGGAGGCACTGAAGAGTTAAATACAGATAACAAGTCCTGGTGTGGTACTGTAGGATAAGCGCCTGACTGCTATCCAGAAGGTCGGTGGTTCAAATACACCAACTGCTCCTCAGAAACTCTATAGGGGATTGCTATGAGTGGAACCTATTTGATGGTACTTAATAACAACAGCAAGTTGCAGAACTGAGATCGGAACTTAGGCATTCTTCTGAACAGAGTACATGAGATAGCACACATCACAACTCAGCAATGTAGGTCTGCTCTGCATGTTGACAGACAAGGAGCCTCAGGCTCACTTGCTTCCCACTGTGACATCCTGCTTAACAATGCCATAGAACAGCATAGGGGATTCATCTCACTCAGACCAGGGGTTGGAGATGGCTTCCCAGAGGGGATGATTCTTGAGGTATTAAGAAGTTTGAGTTGGAGAAGGGCACTGTAGGCAGAGTGAACAGCAAGTGACAAGATAACAAAGGCATTAAGGAGCCTGACACCGTGGGGAGCTACTCATGATTCACCAGGACTAGAGGAGATGCAAGCGTGAGTGATAGCAAAGGAGGTTAGATGTGTGATCCAGCTCTACATTAAGTTCTTAGATAAAGTTTATGGGCTATAGAATGATTTTAAGTACAAAGTGGTATCATCAGATTTGGAAATGGCTTGAAGGGAGACCAGATCATTATGAACCAGGACTCTGACACTCGAGATAGAGAAGATATAAATTCAAGGTATGTTCCTTTGTATTGATGCCTTATTTTGTATGTTCATTACTCATTATTCTGGGATATTCCATAATGTATAGGGTAAAGTTAAAACCCTTGGATGTGGTTATGTGCTGTGGAATCGGTTCCGCCTTACAATGACCCTGTATAGGGTTTCCAAAGTTATAAATATTTACGGGAGCAGAAAGCTTCATTGTTCTCCTGCAGAGCAGCTGGTAGATTCGAACTGATGCTCTTTTTGTTCACAGCTCAGCTCATAACCTACTACATTACCAGAACTCCTTTAAAACCCCTTGTTGTTGTTAAGTGTCATCAAGTTGGTTCCAACTCATAGTGACCCTACATAGGGTTTCTGAGGAGTGACTGGAGTTTGAACCGCCAACATGATTTTTAAAAAAAAACAGCTTTTCCTTGCCTACTATTGCAAAACAGACACTTGAGTGGGATGTTGTTGTTGTTAAGTGCCATCGAGTCAGATCCGACCCATATCGACCC